TCATATACTTTTAATTGTTGCCTCTTTCATAATTGCAAATTGCCTTAAATCTTCTTTGTTAAGTTTTGTAAAAACACTATATTGACTTAGCCAAAATACAGTAACTAGTTTGGATTACACAAAGTATTCAATAGCTACAGTTGCTCTAGTTATCTATTATCTTTAAAGAAGTGGATATAGGATAACAAATTGGTGGTGACTGTGAGATACAGACTCTATCTGGGAAATTTTGTAAAGAAACGTCCAAGTTGTAGAATGATTGGTACTAATTGAAGTTAATCATTTTGCTCTGTTTGAGCTGAAATTTTCAGGATACATCCGTTGGAACCTTCTGCAACTTTTGTTCTAAGCTTATTATAAGACAAAAATGCTACTGGAACCTGTAAAACGTGTTGACAGCATTTTTTTTCTTTAAAGATCTGCAAAGAAAATAAACATTTGGAATCATTTGGTACTAAGTAAAATCAATCAATTTTGTTCTGTTTAAGCTGAACTTTTAAACATTTACTTATGAAGTCTTTGCACAATGTTTCTACTAAGCATATTTTAGTAAGAAAACGTGACTCTGATCCACAATAAGCGTTGGAAACCTAGATGAAAATTTTTATTTTTTATTTTGTATCTGTATGATGAATTTTTAACTATTTAAACACTATAATAAAATGAATTTTTATAGTCAAAATCAAACATCTACCATTAGTCAAGCCAGACCATGCCAACCTTTGAAGAAAAGCACTCAATATTAAATAAAAAAAAACCTTATCACAACAAGTTCAAGAAAAATCATAGAATTATAAAACAATATACTGGTGCACTTATTGTAATATAACAGGACATATAAGTAGTAAATGCCCTAAAGTAGAAGAATTAGATAAAACATGTGTTGCTCTAACTAAGACTCTTACTGATGAATAAACTGCTGAATTTTAACAACTCATTAATGAATCTTTTGAAGATAATTACATCAATAATAAACAGCTTCTCAGGCTCTAGAAGTAGTACTTGAGATATTAGAGGATTTAATAAATAGAGAAAGACCGATAAAAAATATGAAAAATAGTGATAAAGATATATCAGTTATATACTTACCTCCCTATATTCAAGTGACTTCAATTACAAAAAAAAAGAATCTACCTCTTGTATCTTTAGAAGTTTCAAACTTAGAAGATCTCTTACTATTGCCTCAAAACAAGAAAGAGCTCATCTTTAAGAATTTTGATTCTTATTATATTCTTGATGAATCTGTAAAAAGGTCTTCTGAAAATATAGAGCTTGATTTTGAAAAAGAAAAATTAGATCTGGAACCTCTTTTTCAAGAGCCAATTGATCAGTATAAGGCCATTATTCAAAGATGTATCTATAAAAAGAAAAATGAAAATGCTTGTTTAAACTGAATGAAAAAGTTTAAATATGATAACAATATAGCAGATGGAACTAATAAAGATAATGATGATGATAATAACAAGCTTGATGATATAAAGAATAAGCTTCCAGAGCAAGAAGCTGATGAAAAAATTAAACTTTACAATAAAAATGAAATTGGACTTGAAATGAATGAATATTATTTCAGTAAAGATGAAGTTACCAAAAATAATATTAATCAAGACAAAATTATCAAGGAAGAAAGATGTATCAACATCATGGAAAAAGCAGAAGAATTCATTAACAAAGTGAAGAAGACATTAAAAGAAAATAAAGTCAAAATACAAATATCTATTAATATCAAAGAACCCTTAGACACCATGTGTAATTTCTGGAAGAAAAAAGTCAAAAAATTTATGGATAAATTTGAACCAAGTAAAAGGAGTAAGCACAAAATATTAGAATAGTCACAGAATTCTGCTAAAGATAGTAATTTGAACAGACAAAATAATCATGAAAAGTGTTATCAAAATAGTATAAGTATCTTCAAAGATAAGAAAAAGCCTATTGAATGAAAATTAGAATCTGCAAAAGAACCTCAAAATTCAAGTGAAACGAATAGTACTATAACTGAAACAGGGATAATTATATTAGAACCTGAAAATAATAAGAAGCTGTGGTTAGAGATACTGATAAGAAGAACAATCATAATCGAGACCAAAGTATATAGAACCTTCAGATACCTACTTTTGCAACAACCAACAAGATGTATATTTGATCCTGGAGGAACAATTTTGTTAGAAAATTAATATATATTATCTATTTTACCAATTCTAGTATTTATTAGAAAAATCTGTAAGACACATATATAGGCTAGTACTGATAAGTTTAATAAGTACTGTACAAAAAAAAAAATTTTTAACCTATTTGAATAGAGTATATCTTGTTATATTACTATACTTATTCTTATAACAATCAATTGGGTCAAATGACTTTCAAGATATTGTTTAAGAAACTTTTGTATTCAAAATAGCAAAAAGCTCTTATATCTTTTTAAATCTAATGTTAAAGAAAATTCATGCTAGGTTGTCAGTATCCTTGTATATAGGTTATAATAAAAATGAAGAAAATCTTTACAAATAACTCAAGAGCAACTTGAAATTTAGCAAGCACAATCTTTAGATAATAACCAAAATAATGAAAACAAAAGAAAAGATAGCAAATCAATTTGGAAACATATAATTTATTTAGTTGAACAATTATAATTTTATTTACAAAAAAAAATTATTATTATATTGGAACTGGAATATTATCAATCAAGTCTCCACCTCAGCCCTTAAATTATTTCTCTCCCTCACCAACAGCACATAATCTCTATTCCTCTGCTGATTCACCTGATTAATCTTTATAATCTGCAAATCTCTATCATTTACTTCTCTCATTAATCAAACCACTTCTCTTGCCATAAAGACTGCATTTCTTCTCAACTCAACTACCTGTGCCCTCAATGTTCTAACTTTATATTGCAACCTATACAATTATTATTATTACTATTTATTATTATTATTATTATTATATTATTATTATTATTACCTCTGAATTTTATTTTGAAGCACACCAATTGCTTCATATAAAGCAGCTTCACCATTTCTTTGTTGACGTCTGATTGTTCGATATCTTTGTGACATTTTCTTTATTTTATTATTTTATTATATAAGAATAAGTATAGTGATATGAAGATATATACTCTATTCAAATAGTCTAAATTTTTATACAGTACTTATTAAATCCGCTAGTACTAGGCTATATTCATGTCTTACAGATTTTTCTAAAACCAATATTATACATAGTACTTATTAGACCCGCCAGTACTAGGCTATATTCGTGTCTTACAGATTTTTCCAAAACCAATATCATGCATAGTACTTATTAGACCCACCAGTACTAGGCTATATTCATGTTTTACAGATTTTTTCAAAACCAATACTTTCAATTCTATAGCATTCCATTACTAATTACAAGACTTATTACTATTTCAAATATTGTTGTTCTCAAAGTTTTATTTTCAAACTTTGTTGTTATTTTCCAATAAAATATCTATTTAGTTATTTTTGTTCAAATTAACAAAATAATAAGAACATTAATTTGGATAATTCCAGTTAACTAAAAATACTAAACTAAAAAAAAGATAAGTTAATATATAAAATTTTTTTTTTTTTTTTTTTTTTTAAAAAAAAATTAAAGATACTAGATAATCTATATTATAAAAATTTAGATGTTCGATCCGTTTAGCATCATATGATTTTGTATGATTTTGTATAACACTACCCGTTGTTTAACAATGGGTCGAAGCACCTAGTAATAATAATAAAATGATAAAAAATAATAAATGATAATAATATATAATAATAATAATAATAAAAATAAAAACTAAAACAAATAGATTTCTTTAACAAAGACACTTTTTAGTTAATACAAATCCTTTAATTTTTATGTTTTGGCAAAGTTTAACTTTTCTCTGAACTTGTTTAAGTAGTCTATCCTGAGCTTTCTTAGTTTTAGCCTCATAGAGTTTGTAGAAATCTCTATTTAAGTTTTGAAGAGGAAGAGGTAGATTAGGATATAAAAAGTGCTGCATATCACCTAATATAAACAAAACTTTTTTAATCTAGAGTAATTAATTCTAAGTTTTAATAAATGTTAGATCTGATTCAATCTAATATCAATTAGATCTTTGATATAGTAGGTAGGAGGTTTTTTGTTTCTTCTAGGAATTGGATAGAGGCTCTTTTCATCTGAAGAATCAGGATTTCATTTGTCAGATAGTTCATTATCAAGATCATATCCTAGAGCTTGACCAGAGGCAATTACAATTTCTTTAATTATTTCCCATGGGTCTTGGCTATCATCTATATCTTCAGTATTGTCAGATAGTATAAATATAAATTGTAGTACTTCTTGTTCAGTTGGTAGATTTTCTTCTATAGGTAAAACATCAGGTATAGGTTTTTGATTAATTTGATCAAAATTTAAATCAGTCCAAGAGTTATAGTAAATATCTAGTTTCTGTTTACTATCAACTATTATAAATATTATATATATATATAATAATTTAAAAGAAATGAGATATTGGGTATGTATATAGTAAAATAAAAATAATATATAGTAGTGATGAAAAAGGGGTTTTTGATCAAATTTTGAGATTTAAGAGAAAAA